ACCAGCACAAAGTGGATGCCCAAAACCCCTGGACTCCAAAATTCACTGGGACCAGCACAAACTGGATGCCCAAACCCCTTGGAGTCCACAATTCACTGGGACCAGCATGAACTGGATGCCTAAATCCCTTGGGCTCCAAAATTCACTGGGACCAGCAGAAACTGGCTGCCTAAACCCCTGGGCTCCAAAATTCACTGGGACCAGCACAAACTGGATGCTCAAACCCCCTGGGCTCCAAAATTCACTGGGACCAGCACAAACTGGATGCTCAAACCCCCTGGGCTCCAAAATTCACTGGGACCAGCAGAAACTGGCTGCCTAAACCCCTGGGCTCCAAAATTCACTGGGACCAGCACAAACTGGATGCTCAAACCCCCTGGGCTCCAAAATTCACTGGGACCAGCACAAACTGGATGCTCAAACCCCCTGGGCTCCAAAATTCACTGGGACCAGCACAAACTGGATGCCTAAACCCCCTGGGCTCCAAAATTCACTGGGACCAGTGCAAACTGGAATCCTAAATCCCTTGGGCTCCAAAATTCACTGGCACCAGCACAAACTGGAAGCCTAGACCCATAGGTCACCAAAATTCACTGGGAACAGCACAAACTGGAAACCTAACCCCTGGGCTCCAAAATTCACTGGGACCAGCACAAACTGGGAGCCCAAACCCCTGGGCTCCAAAATTCACTGGGATCAGCACAAACTGGATGCCTAAACCCCCTGGGCAGCCCAGGTGTAACTTGTGATTCAGTCCTTGTCTGGTTTTGATTTGAGCTGTGGAGGTCTGTCCCAGAGGATTTCTGATCCAGTGGATGCCAGAGTGGGATGGGAAATGCTCAGCAAGGAGGTAGAAAAAGTTACCAGGGCTGTGCCCAGCTGTGTGAGGGTGCAGGAGCCTCACTGGTGGCTCACAGCTCTTCATAATCCCCTTCCTTGTCACACCTGACACCTGCACAAGGTAACCAGGGCAGAAGGACCATTCAGACCATGCTTTTCAGCCTCTTTCTGTGGGTTTCTTGGGATGAAAAACCATATTTTCCACACAAAGACCACAATATTTTGGTTTGTCCTTGAGAAACGCAGGCAAAGGAGAGCCCAAGGTGCTCCAATGTCACCTGCTGTCCCCAGGCTTTGCTCTGCCAGATCCATCTCCTAGGCAGAGATGGAAAGAAAGGTTTGGGGAGGTGCTCCAAGTTAGAGCCAAGGGATGGGATCAGGCAGGGATGTCTTCCATCACTCAAAATTCCAGAAACAGCCAGGCTACCTAGACACTGACTGTGGCAAAACCCATGGGAATGTGGGTGAATTTAACTGTGTGCATAGAAATGTGACCTCCACCACTGCAATAATCTGTTTTTCACTCATTTAACATCACTTCCCCAGCTTCAGGCTGTAGCCTTATATGCCCCTTTTGGGGTTTTTTTGGGATGGAAATGTAGGAGGTTGATCTCTGCTGACACACATCAGCCACTAAGGTGCCTGTTGCATCTTCCCTCCCTGCCACATCCAACACCTGTTGAGCCAAAAATCCAGGTCTGGAGGGGGTTTTGCCCATCCATTCCTGCTCTGAGTAAAGATTCCCACTTCAGCAGGGATTAGTTAAAAGAGAAAAAAAAATATGTTTATGCTCCTTATGGTGAAACCTTCCAGATGGGACTGCACTGAGGAGAAATCAATTGTGGGACTTAACAACCATAACAGGTCTGGTTTAAGTTTGTTGGATTTTATGGTGCTTTTCCCAGACAGGGGCAGTGAGGGGGGAATTTGTTTTGTGCTCACCACATCCTCAGACAGAAGCAGGTCTGTGGTCAGCGTGAGAAAAATTGAGTTTGTGGCGAGCAGGAGGCCTGGGCTGAATCCCAGGAGCTGAAGTCACCATTAGGGACTGGATTTCAAAACAAACCCTGTCTCCTCATCATCTGGTTGCTATGGAGGCACTGCTGGCTCCTGCTTCCAACCAGGAAAGGCAGGTTTCTGCTCTGGACCAGAGGTTAAGATGACAAGAAAGATGGAGATACTATTTACAAGAGCATGGTGAGACAGAACAAGGGGGATTGCCTTCCCACTGCCAGAGGGCAGGTTTAGATTGGATTTTGGGAAGAAGTTCTTTGCTCAGAGGGTGCTGAAGCCCTGCACAGAGAGATTCTGGATTCCCCATCCCTGGAAGTGTCCAAGGCCAGGCTGGACAGGGCTTGGAGCAACCTGGGATAGTGGGAGGTGTTCCCTGCCCATAAGAGAGAGTTGGACAAAATGATCTTTAAGGTCCCTTCCCACCCAACCTGCTCTGTGGTTCTGTGATCCTTGTGGGTCCTTCTAACTCAATATATTCCATAATTCTGTGATCCCTGGCTGGCTCAGCAGGGTGAAGGTCGGGTAGAGTTTGGATTTGCAAACAGAATGAGCTTTTCCAGCACTGCCCTGAGAGAGCCAGTGGCCCCTCTCAGAGTCTCAGATAAAGCAAGAGCCTTTCAGCTCTGGAATCTGATATTTAAAATATTCACAGCACCCCCTCCTGCTAATCAGGAATTTTATAAGATGTTTGGTAGGTGCCTGTGGTTTTTTTGCAAGCAAGACCAGGTTTTTTCATCCCTTTTTCACTCCTGAATTCTGGCCCCAGAGGCAGGCAGGAGCCTGGCAAGGGGAGATTTGCACTGCCGAGCTTTGTAGACTGCAAACCAGCCAGGAGTGGGGATCTGACTTGTAAAAAATTTAAGTCCAAATGCATTTGGACTCCGTGCTGATTAGTGTCAGGTCTAACACACACTCAGGAATGTGGTGGCAGGGGCTGCAGTGATCTGAATCAGGGATGAAACACAGTTTGCAAGTAGCAGGTGTGACTTTGGAGCTCCCTAACCCTTTCCTGCCCAAAAGAAAAGGTTTTGGCAGAAGAAGAGAGATGCAGAGACAAGTCTTTGATATAGAGCAGGGAGAGAAACTGAAAGAACGTGGAGGTGCATTTAGCTTCTCATCTCGCCTCAGATTCACAGGATGGTCTGTGGGCTTCTCATCTCTTGTTTGTCAGTCTCTCCTGGGGCTGGGATTAGCTGCCTGAGCCGTGGATTTGCTGGGAATTTGTAAAGCTCCCTCTGTTTGCAGTCTGGGAAGGCAGAGCCTGGCATGAGGTGGGAGATGGCAGCACTGGGGCTGGGGCTGGAGCAGTAGCTGCAATGGAAACGAGTTTTCCCTCCTCCCTGGATGCAGATGCCCCTCTCCACAGTGTCTCACCCTAATTCCTTCACGGCAGTGCCACCCTGATCACAGGAGAGGATCAGAATTATTTGGAGGTTGCAGCCAGGGCGGTGTTTGCCCCTCTGGAATTGGACCGTTTGCGTTTCGGTGCAGAGGTCCTGAGCAGTTCCTTTCACTATGAACCGTGAAGTCTCCCCAAATAATGGCAGTTGTCTGACTTGATAGGGGGAAATCTTCCTCCCAGGCTCCCCTGTGCCCTTTGGAAATGGGGCAGCAGATCTGTTTTGGAGGCAGCAAGTGCTGCAGGGTCAGGGTGAGCCTCACCCGAGGGGAAACGCCTGATTTTCTCTACCTGGGTTGGGCTCAGAGGGAAAAAGCTGGAAAGGTGAGAGGGAAAAGGTGCCATGGCTGTGTGGTCAGCGCCCCTCCTGCCCTGTTGACTGAACCCCTCCCCAAATTTGGGGGTGGACAGTTGTGGGAGGGGGTACAAGATAAGGAAAGTCCTGCTACTCCTCTTATTTCCCCTTCTCTCTTCTCTCCTGGAGAGAGGAGATGGAGGGAAGGGACCTCAGGAGAGTCTTTTGTTGGGGTAAGAAGGAGGGAGATATACACGAGGGCCTCTTTGGCATGGGGGGAGCAGGGCTCTGGGCAGCTGGGCTGAAGGAGGAGTCTGTGCCACAGGAGGCTGCAGGGAATGCATCCTTAGGGCATTGCAGCGTGGATTCTACTTTGAGAATTGAGGCTGAAGGGTTTAGGGGGCTGAAGGAGGTGCTGGCACTGGCACAGAGGGCTCTCACTCAGCAGATGCTCTAAGCCTGGCACCACAGGCTTTGGGGTGTCCTGCACCCAGGGGTGAAAGCAGAGGTGGGTGCCTGATGTGGGAAGAGATAAAATCTGTCTCTATTGTCCTTTTTTTGCTCCTGTACTGGGTGTACAGCTCCATCTATTATCCTGCCTGGCCTCAGGGTTCCACCAAAGCTAGGTTCCTGAGCAACAACTCCCTTCTCTGCACGGTTTTGGTGGAAGGGAGAGAGAAAAGGAGGGGCATTAAGAGGCTAAAAAGCAAGTGGTGGCAGAAGGAAGGGAGGAGGCAGAGCCCAGCTGGCCATGCTGACCTCCAGCCCACCCTCCCCAGGTGCAGCCTGAAATCTGTGTTGAACCAGCTCCCCGGGGATGGGGAGAGCTGGAGCCTCCCTAACCCAGATACCAACCCTGTTTTCCTTGGGGAGATGGTCAAGGCTCTGCTGGGCTCAGCAGAGGGATCTGCATGGGCAGGGGGCACTGGGAAGGAAAGCAGAATCACAGCTGTGCTCACCCCTGGGTCAGTCACAGTTCAGTCCCTCCTGGGGTTTGGGACACCCCCAAACCAAACCTGGGGATGGGGACAGCCCCAACCAAGCATGGGGATAGGGACACCCCCAAACCAAACCTGGGGATGGGGACACCCCCAAACCAAACCTGGGGATGGGGACACTCCAAAGCAAACCTGGGGTTTGGGATACCCCCAACCAAACCTGGGGATGGGGACAGCTCCAACCAAGCCTGGGGATGGGGACAGCCCCCAACCAAGCCTGGGGATGGAGACACCCCAAACCAAACCTGGGGATGGGGACACCCCCAACCAAGCCTGGGGATGTGGGGCTGCATCTTCCCCTCGTGAGAAGTGCCGGTGCTGGGGCTGCTGTGTGGATTCTCAGTCGTGTGAAGGGTTAATAAAAAAAACAACAACAAAGTACCGCCAAAACGACCAAATCCCAAATCTCTTCTCTTTCTCTCCCCTCCTCCTTCCCTTCCCTGTTTTTTTCCAGGTGTTGTTTATGGCCACAGGAGGGAGCTCAAATCCAGACATGGGAGGATCGGCTTGATTTCGGATCCAGAGCCTCTTAAACTCTGCTTTTCCTCTAAGCTGGTCCCTGTTATGTCCAGGATCTGGCACCTGCTTGACATTTACTTTGAGTTCCAGAGGACCCGAGACCTAGGATGAGGAGCATTGGATCCGCCCTGAACCTGCTTTTGGTATCTCCACTCTACTTTGTGTGGACCGTGGTCGCTCTGGACCTGGCACAAACTCCCTGCACCACTTTGGTCCAAGGGAAATTCTTTGGGTATTTCTCCTCCTTCGCCGTCTTCCCGTTGAACTCCTCCCTGTGCTCTTGGATTATCCAGAACCCCGACCCTCGCAGGTACACTTTGTACATGAAGATCCTCAAGCCCTCCGGCATATGTGACCACCAGCACATCCGCACCTACCAGTTCGACTCCTTCCTGGAGTCCACCCGCACCTACCTGGGCATGGAGAGCTTTGATGATGTCCTGAAGCTCTGTGATGGCTCCACCCGCTTTGCCTTCCTCCAGTCCAACAAACAATTCCTGCAGATGAAGCAGACGGCCCCGCCAGGCGTGGACACCTGGCCCATGAGGTGGAAGCCCACCAAGGCTCAGGAGAGGGACTTCTCCGTGGAGTATCTGGTGGTGGGCAACAGGAACCCCAGCAAAGCCGCCTGCCAGATGCTCTGCAAGTGGCTGGACACCTGCCTGGCCATCAGCAGCAGCTCCCACCCGTGCGGCATCATGCAGACCCCGTGCTCCTGCTCGGGAGGGGAGGTCCTGGATCAGGCCAGCGAGATCCTGGGCTTCACCAGGAAGAAGGAGGATTGCTACAAGGATGGGATTTACCTGGAGAACTGCGTGGGCAGCCCCAAGGACACCAACGGAGCGGAGTTCCTGGGTGAGTGGAGGGTAGTCGGGGGGTTTTGGGGAGGGAGGGCTGCTTGGGCTCTGCTCTCACACTGTCCCCGTCACCTCTGTGTCTGTATCTGTGGATGCCTGGCATGAAAAACCTAATTTCCCAATCAACAGGCAGGTCAGGTAACCCACAGGGCTCTTTATGAGCCTGCGACTGGAATTGCAAATCAGCTGCCCCTAAATATTCCCCAGGTTTTTGCAATTCGTTCTCAGGGCTTGTTCATTGCTTGTTTTACTCCTGCAGCCTCTGAGCTCCTGAGAGGGAGATGCTTACCTGAGGGTGAGCAGTTTTCCAAAGTAATTACAGATGTCCTAGAAAAAGCAGGATCCAAGCTACCTCCCGAGGCAGGCAGCCCTATCAACCACTTTTAATTCCTAGGGAAAACTTAATTCTTGGGTCTGGTTCAAGAGGGAATGGCAACAGAAAGCACTCTCGTTTTGTTCTCAGCTTTGTTTTCCTTCTGGAGGCTTTAAGAAAGAGAATTCACCATGCTGCTTGCATGGGGTTACCTGGGCTCATTCCTCAGATATTTCACTGGGTTTTGATTGTGGTCTGGAGCATGGTGTGGGCTGGAAAGGGACTGGGGAGGTGGGAGAGCCATGAGAAAAAGGGCTGTGAGTCCAGGTGGGATGATCCTGAAGTCTGATCAAGTTCTGGGGAGAGAAACGCTCCTTCCAGAGACCTGGCACAGTCTTGCCAAGCAGAAGGGACTTGAAGGGGGTCTGAAAGTGGAGCCTTTTTCTTACTGCCTGTGTCAGGTCTGCTCCAGGGTGTTTATTCTCAGCTCCCACCCCAGCATGCAGGTTATGTAAAGCAGAGGTGTGATGTTGAACAGCAGCACAGGTGTCAGGGAATGGAGCCTCCAGTTCAGTGAGTCTCAGACCCCCACCTGAGCCTACCCACAAGGTCTCATCTTCTTCAGGTGCCGGACTGAAATGTCCTCTGCCACCAGCAGAAAGTTGGCATCTGTCTGGGTCAGGAATTTGAGGATCCTTCCTGGCTTTTCCACCCTTGCTGAGGGTGGGATTTCTCAGGGTTGAGGGGAAGAGGCCAGATTTGCTTCTGCAGTAGGCAGGAGGTGACCAGGCACAGATTTGGGCTGTGCAGAGTGATTTTCCTGCAGACTGCAGCCTGGCCTTAGCTGAGAGATCAGGGTATGATCAGGTACTCGTGCTTTCCTGAGTGTATTTTGGGGGAGAATTTGTTTCTCACTGGTCTGTGAATCAATACATGAAGGCACAGCCGAGCCATAAATCCTGCAAATTAGTTCTTCAGTCCTGCCTCCCTCCCTGGCCACAAGCACAAGGCTCTCCAGATTTGGGTTGGGTTTATTTTTTTTCTTGCAATGCCCTTTTCTCCTGTGTGAACAGCTCTGAGGAGCCTCTCGGAGTTCAGTCATGTGTCATGCCTGGAATTTGCTGATTGGGTGATTTATGCCTTCCACCCAAGCAGTGTGACCTTTCTCACTGCAACCAAAGGTGAAATTTGAAATAAGATTTTCAGCAAATCCTGAAGCATTCAAGCTTAATATTGGCTTTTGTAGGGATCTCTCCTAGTCCAGCTCGAGTGCCTGAATGTTCCCACAAAGTAAATATGAAAGAGGCTCGAGGGTGGCTAAATCAAAATCCTTTTTGGGTGTCAAATATTTGTAGAGTGCAGATAATTTTTCTGCTGGCTGCTCACATCTGCTCCATACTGGAGACAGGGAATTATCATCTTGGCTGGTGGGATGCCATCCACACAGAAACGATGCTTGCAGGGTGCCCGGGCTCTCCATGTGCTGCTCTGTCTGTCACTGTGTCTGTTTTGATTTATGCAAAGGCTTGATCAGGAAGATGGAGGCGAGATCCAATTTGGACAGGGAGTCAGCAATCCCTTAACAGCATCTTGTGGGTGGAATATTTTGATAGGGTTCCTGATTTCCAAGTGCTGATGCTGGTTATTGCAATCATTGCTGTTCTAATTGTATCTGTAGCGGGTTTTTTTCCCAACAAGCTTTTTTTTTTCTTTTTTTCTTTTTTTTTTTTTTATTATTATCATTGCTATTTTTCCCTCCCTGCTGCTTTCTGAGTCATTCGTTGTTTCTGGGCTTGTCTTAACACTTTCATCCTGGAACAAGTGGAGTTGTGTGAGTTGTACTAATCTACTCTGATGACTTTAAAGGCACAAGAAGGAATGTGGAAGGTTCCCTGCCCATGGCAGGGGGTTGGAATGAGATGATCTTTGTGGTCCCTTCCAACTCAAACCATCCTATGAAGTGCCAGATACCATCCTGAAATATGAAACCTGACTTTCCCTAATGTGCCTTTTTATTCCTTGGGTATTTCCAAAGCAAATGGATGGGTGCAAATCTACAATGAGATGTTGCAGTGGACACAGCTGTGCTTTGGCTCATGGCCTGTGGGTGAGATACCTCTGAAAAGCTTCACTCCAAGAGGATTCAATTGCTCCAGAACCAAAGGGACTCTCAAGAAAACATAACTAACAGCTTTTTTTTCACTCATGGCCAGTGATTTTACACCCAGCTCAGGGGCACAGGGAAATTTATGATCATTCACTGGGGAACTTCACACAGAAACTCTGCCAAAGTCCCCCTGTCTTATGTAGAGCATCTGTTCTTCAGTGTCTGGAGGAAGGAGAAACTGCTCCACATTTCCTTCCCAGGTTTGGTGAGACTCTCTTTGCACTCACTGTCCCACACAGACATTGCAGAGGGCACAGCAGGCAGGGGTGGGTTGCAGAAGAATCCCTCAGGTTATCCTGCAGATATTTTGGTCTTGCTGCACGTGGAGCTTGTTCTGGTGATCAGCAGGACATGCTTTGAAATCTTGGGCAGCCTGAGCTGGAAATGTTTTCCAGGAGAAGACAATTCAACATGGAAACCATTTTATCAGATCTCCCTTGGCTAATTCAAGAAATGTGGGAAGAAAACAGAAGTTTGCTTGTAGGTCCTGATGTTTAGATATAAACTGACTTTTTTGGGATACAAATTGGCATTCTTGGACTAGGTTTGGGGGGCAAGGACAGGAGAGTGAAGAAGGGAAAACCTTCTGAAATGTGCATTGGTTCGTCACAGTCTGAAAGTGCTGGTGGCCCTCCCAAATGTGAGCTGGATTCTGTAATTGGAGCTGGAACTTTAACAGGGATGTTGATGTGACCCTGTAATGAGAGAAGGTTAAATGTGTGCTTAAGTGCTGTGCTGAGTTAGGCACTTAATGAATGTCTAATTAGTCTTGTCTCCATGTGAGCCGTTCCTGGAAGACCATTGCAGTGCTGTCACATTTTGGTGGCCCAAAAAGATAAACATCATTCTCTGGTCCTTCTGCTCTTCATGTCCCCACCTTGGAGGGATCCAGGATGCTGACTGCAAAACAAGGCTAAAAGTGCCCCTCAAAATATATTATTTGCTTCTTGTTAAATCAGGTGGCTCCAGGGCTGGAGGGGTTTTTGTAATGAGTGGGTAACTGGAACACAGTAATGCTAGACTGAAGTGCTGGGGATTTTCCTGCCTTTCCTAAAATTGCTAAATTTTTCCATTATTTTGCTGTCCCCATTGCTCTGAACAAAATCAAATCCCCCTTCCTCACACGTGCTCATCACTTCTGTTTTGTTAGTGGTGTTTCATCTTCCACTTTTAGGTGCTTTTCCACCTCTGTCACATTGATTAAGGTGTCCCAGAGTGTCTGATCTCTGTTTGGAGAGGCCCATCAACAAGTTCCTTCTCAACCTCTGCTGCATTAAGTAGGCTAAACTCCATAAATCTCTCACTGCAGGACACACTCTCCAAACATCTCTTGTTGGGAAGTTTTGCTTCACGCTTGGCATGTTTTTTGGTCAAAACATGCTTTGGTCTCCTCAGCAGGGCTGAGTTTTTGCCTGGATTTGGGGCTGAGTTGCTCCTGAGTGGGGTCCATGATGTGGAAGAGGAGCCAGAGACACAGAAATGAATCAATTCCCACCCTCCCTGCTGCAGGAATCATCTTGTGTGGCACAGCTCCCCTCCCCTCAAATCTCCAACCTCACCCAGAGCAGGAATAGCTCAGTAAGTCATTTCCTATATTTGAGATGAGCTTTAGTGGCCATGAAAGCTCCAGAGACTGATGAAGAGCTGTGAGTAATTGCCATGGGGCAGATCTCAAACCTCTCCTTGACATCTTCAGCCCCTTATGACACATGCTCTCCTCCAGCAAGAATCCCCCTGGCTGGAGCAGCTGAGCTTGCAGACAAAGGTGTTTGGCTTTGGTTTTGCCTCGGTGCTGGATTTGCCAACCAGATGGCAAAGGGATTTGGGTGAGTGCCTCTCAGGAAGGTGTGCTGCATTCCAGCTCCTCACTTCTGCTCCTGTGTCTGTCCCTGGACAACCCTGAGAGCAGAGGTTGGATGTGGTGAGAGATGGACAGCAAAACACGGGGCGAGGAAGCGCTGATTTCTCCGCGTGTGTAAAATTTTCCTGTGTAAACTGCTGAAATCATTGGGGATTTTACCTGATGTCCCCCCAGCTTAACTCCAAACCTCAGCAGCTGACAGCAAGACCTGATATTCCTTCCCAGCTCCTGCAGGAGGAGGTTGGTTAGAGCCTGAAAGGTGGCAAAGAGGTCACCTTGTCACCTGCAGGGAATCCCCACTGCACCCATATGGGCAGCTCCCGCTGGGAATGTCCCTCTTGGCTGTGGTCAGGATGTTTGATGGATGAGGCAAATGTGGAGAACTCCTCCCTGGGGGCTGGAAAGGGGGATTCTGGCTCAATTTAAACACTGAGATCTCTGTGACCTGTACAAGCCCTGCTTGCCCCACTGCTCTCCTCTGGGATCATCAAAGACCTTACACATGGAATGGGATGGGATGGGATAGGATGGGATGGGATGGGATGGAATAGAATGGAACAGAATAGAATAGAATAGAATAGAATAGAATAGAATACAATACAATACAATACAATACAATACAATACAATACAATAATAGTTTTCAGTTGGAAAGGAC